TTTCGTTCATTATATAGGGAGTTCATCGATCATTTGTGCCCTGAGTCTCTTGTGAGATGTCTGAGATGAGAATGATCCTTCAGTCGAGTGTTACATCATTATAGATACTGATCTCGATGATCACATTCGGTCGATGTCGCAGAGGGAGCCCTCGGGGCACTTACCCGGGGTTACTTGAGCATATATAATTACGCGTTACATGAGAAAAAAATCAATTGAATATAATCATTGAACTTTTGTTAGTAGGATTCACAACTTTTTCTAACCATATCACCGAACAAAATATATACGAGAGACATATTTTCACCACAGAAATCAGTGCAAAAAAGTATTTAATTAAAATGTCCCCCTTCTCGATAAATTGTGGTAATTGCTACGTTTTTTTCTCTGCATCATAATGTCTTGAAGTACAAGGACATTACATTTTACATTTTAATTTTAAATTCAACATGAACCTCCTTAAACTGAAAGTATCCTTGATTATTTATTTATTTGTTTATATTTGAAAACATGCTGTTTTTCAAAGTTGTTATGTGCTCAATAAACGGCAATAATGTAGACGGAGACGGAGCACAAATCCTTCAAGTGACGGACGTGCCAACAAGATGAGTCTAGCACACCTTTCTAGGGAAGAGTATGCCCCGGATATGATGGAATCGTAAACCAATGTTGCAACTACGTAGCATCAATAGCCGTTTAACATGTCTGGGTCTCCAATGCCCACACACACACTACAGTGAAAGTCTCATTTTTTGTCCTAGGGCTATGGATCATTAACGCCGCCTCTATCCGTGTAAATTGGGTAGTCTTTGTGACCTTTGACCAACGAACATCAATTTCTCTTTTATCTTCAACTGAATAAATTATTGTCCTTGACGTTATATTACCACAAAAGAACCCAGGTTGTTTTTATTTCTTCATTCTTCAAAGTTGATTTTTTTTCTTATATGTGATGCACTTTTTTAATTTCTGATTTTTTCAGGACAAAGTGCTGTGCCTATACTCGTACTGTCACCCTATTTTCCTTATATTTAGTGCGAAAAGAACGCATAAAACTGTCACGGTGACTACGTGTTGCGACGATTTGACAATACACCGTGTCACTCATTGAGGTCAGCGAACCAACTGTCACGTACCTAGCTAAATTTAGACTGCTTCATTTACACGAGTGTGCATTTTGAGCTAACAACTAATGTGATGTTAAAATAAAACAACAATAACAACAACAAAACAACAACAACAACAACAACAACAACAACAGGCAGTAAGTTGTTGAAGGGCTACTATGCACAATATTATGAACAAGATTTTGAAACTGTTCAGGCGATGGTATATTGAACAAATTGTACCTATAGCACACCGCGAACAAGAATTTATAGTGCGGCTTTATAGTACAGTGTGAACCCAATAATAGTCCCTACTTTAGCGAAGACACAAGGATTTCATTGATGCCATGCAGTGATCGGCCGATTTCCCCCTCTTAGTCACATAGTGTTTCTATGCGTAAGATCGGTAGCATTATACGCTTTGTGAGTAACTGTGGTAGCTATTTATCTTCCTTCACGTTTAGGTGTCTGTCTTCCCCCCTCTTAAAGCATGATTCGACCTTCTTAAGTCACATTATCTCGATTATTTGACACGTTGAACTGTCAACCAACAAATGAGTCCAAGTAATGCCTGACTGTGTCGCCAAAAGCGAGACATTTTCTTTCAGCTCACTTTACTTGCTTTAACACGGAACGGTGCCTTCTACCAGAAGGGACAAAGACAAATAAATTGTCTAAAATCCTCGTTTCATTTACATTTCTACTTAGATTAACTTTAATCCGCAAAAGATGGAGGATTTTACAATTTAAATTGCATGATGGGATTACTGTTATGCAGACGGTGTGTGGATTTGCCAATATACATTCGTACTGAAACGCCACCCATGTGGAAAACGCAATGACAACATGTTGATTCCCTTAAAACTCGAGAATATAAGAATTTCCAAGTCAACTAAAAGAACAATGCTTTCTTCTATCTCTTCTTTTGTCGTGTGCCTACTTTCTGTCTAACACCGCAACATAGTTTGAAATGGCGGAAACGAACCCCTTTCTTCTCGACTGAGTACTCGGTTTGGGTGGCCCTAGTATTTTACGTAAAACACCCTTCCACGTCACTGCCACGATTGTCCGAATATAATGCAGTGTCTTAATCGTTCCGTTGACCATCAATTTAACAGGACGCAGAGAGGAAACTCCTCTCCCCGGTGACATTGACAGCTGGCCTAAGGATGCATCCAAGCATAAGCGAGGAGGCTGCGACCACACAGTCGGGTGTCCAATGAGACTAATCAATTTTGCCTGTGAAAGGGGGGTTGGAAAACAAAGTATTGTCATGCAGAAAAGTTACAAATTTATCTAGATTTAACGATTGGGGACCACAAAAGATGCATTTGAAACGGAGAGAAACTACCGCTGGTGTGTGGTCTTTGGTGTGTCACTTGTTAAGAAAAGAACGGTAGTAAAAGTCAATTGTTTTGCAAATGGCAGAGGACAGAATTGAATGGGACCGCCAGATGAAGTATTGTGTGACATATCGGCGAGTAGAAGTCACCTCCTCACTAACAGATACACACTACAGTCCATTATTCAGACTTATTCGCGTTTAAAGGTGAAATTAACACCGTCGGGAGTGAAATCGAGTTAGTTTCTAATATGGCCGCCTGCCTTCACTAGGGCAGTGAGTCTCATGCCGTTTTCTTGTCTGGTTGCCCCTTTATTCAAAAGTAAAAAAACCAATATGGGATCGGAGAGAATGAAACACAAGCCGTGATTTGCTTGTAAATCCTATGCTTTAATTGTTACGTATTGACGCGTACACGAGATTACACCAATCCAAATAGTTGCGTGGGATCATTCACGACTTAGGTGCTATGTACATAATTTGTATGTCTATTACTCTTTCACATGCAAACATTTACTCATCAAAACCAACTGATTACAGTTGTAATCTAAGCTCTGAAGGCTCTTTTGTCTTTCTTCAAAGCATCTTTATTGACTACCTTGGCGTATAGACCTTTTCCTAGCGCCGATATATTCTCACAGTATTTAACGCCAGGGACAAATTAATATAATAGTGTATGCTCGTATTTTTGGTTTCACGTCATCATCAAGCATGGTTTAAGTAATAACTATTCTAAGAGGTTTTGTTGCTTCTTATTTCGATTTATGTTGAAAAGAAAGGGAAAAAATAATATTTTTCCAGTGGATTATGGTTCAATTAAACGGTTTATAGTCAAGATTAAATTCATTCAATTTTGTTTTGGAGCACCATTCCCGTGTAATTTAATTAGTATATAATACTCGGTTTGACGTCTACTTCAATCCGCGTAAAATTGTGCTTGTTTCAAGAAGACAATCAATCATTATGCTAACTGCAGCCTCTTCCTGAAAATTACATAGTCCCCAAAATACTTCATCGTAATAGCTATAAAGCTTGGCTTCATATTTATTTAGAGTGTTTGAAACCAATCCTCAGCCGTTTTAGTTCAGTGACGTCATGGTTCTGTTGCCCATATCCCGACTGACCCGGATCATGGCCAGGCACTTCACCCCGGCAATGTATAACAACGGCACCAGCCAGCTTACTTAAGACGTTGTTGATTGTCTGCCTTGTTTACTTGTTTTCAGTAACCCGTGCTGTTTTTCATTGCTTAGCCCTTCTCCGATTGCAAACAGCCAAAGCTTTTGGTTTACCCAAACCTCACGTACTATTGCTTATCAGGCCTTTGCTGTGACGGCTGAGACGAATGCAATGTTTTAGCATGCGTTCAAGCAGATCGCTTAGTATATAAAAATGGCTTTCAAACGGCAATACTAATAGCCGTATATACTCAGGCTTTAGTACTTGGCTACTGACGAAGTTAAATAAACTTTACTGCACGGGAACTTGGCTGTTTGCTCTAGTGGGTTGATTGCCGGCTTGTTGTTTATCGTTTAAATGGGAATTGCAGCCAACGGACTTTAGAGACAGTATTCTAATGCGCTGACCAATAAAGAAATGGCGGGTTCAATAGGCTGTATTTCACAAGGTCGGTTTGAAAGGAGGCTTTGGACGCCCGAACTCACACAGCCTAGAGCATAGCCGGTGATGGTATGCCAGCGACAAGACTGACAATTGCCTGAGAACACACGAAATATAAATCACATTCTTGCGACTTAAAATAAAGGCAATAGGAGCTTAAGTAGTACAGTCTGTCACATGACGGCAACTTTAGTTTAGTTTTGTTGCTTAGTTTGTTTTACCAGTCACCGTTTTGCAATTAAAAATGTGACACGAGTATGACGTCACGTGGGTATGATCAGACCTCACTCTAAGTGGAGAATGTGATTTAATATATCAAAACGAGCGACTGTAAGTGTGTATGGGGAACTGTATTCTAGTTGCTGCTGGCTGTTGCAGATTGAATATCCCCCCACTCAGTATGTCCCATTAGAGTTAAGTCGGTTACGTTCTACGTTGCCCACAAAAGAAATGCCTTCACGACAGAGCCACCTAAATTAGAAAATACCCATTCACCGAATAAGAGACACCTACTTTTCGAAATTAAAACACCCTTTTGCCCTATCACAACCTTTAATTCCAGTGCGATTCAACCGCGCATTGTAAGCGTGATTTTACGTTTCCTGAAATGTTTTTCTTGTCGACCTGATCCATGCCTGTGCTGGGTTCGAGCTCTGTTCCACTCTGTGAATACTAAGAGACTCTACCGCGGTCACTTTAAAAGCCCAGCCTCGCTGCTGAAGTTTATGACGACACGATAAAGGGGACAATACCGTGAATACCACCAGTAAAGGCTTGAGGCGAATTGAACGGATATTCTCCTGCTTTCTGCCTACCTGTCTTAGCTGGTTCCGGGCCAAACCACAATCCGACCTTATATGTATTATTTGTTTAAAGTTATCCACTAGTATATGAAGATGTAGAAAAAAAAAGTGAATTGAAATGGGACATACCGTAAATATCTCCATTCTCCCCTTTTGCGTCTACTTTTCTGTTTCCGAAAATCCTTACATGGTGGGCGAACGGTCGAGAATACAATTGAAGCTTGCGTATGACTGGTAAGTTTCCAATGGCATGATCCGGATCGTCAACGTATGCTTCGAACTGGTCGTCGAGACTTGTCGCTAATTGTATTGATTCCTAGAACAAGTAAAACAAAATATTTCAACAACAATAAACGTGTAGTGACAATGAATTCAACAATTTTATTCTTGTAGATATAACTGATAGTGGGCGAAGTGTTTTTGTCCTTTTTATTTCAAAGAGTATGGCCGACCTTGAGTCTTATTGCCAATGACATATATTGTTAGACGGGATATAGCAAGTACTCGACGATGTTTTTCTCCCCATCTCTGTCATTCTTGTTTTAGTTTCATTTTTTTTGTGAGCACGCACCTCTTTATTTTGGGTAGATTTGTTACAAGCCCCTGGTGATGCATTGCTTGTTTTTTGTTTCTATTTGTATGCGCTCGTGTAGGTTACACAGAAAACACTCAGGGCCTTGTTCTATATAAATGCGTATGGGATATTTAAAGGCAGAAGGAACGCTGCAAAAAAAAGGGGGAAAAAGAAAACGTCTCCTCGGATGAGACTGAATTCGAAAGACATCATTATGGTCTAATCACTCGTGTAGACGGGAGCTGAATCGCTTCTGAGGACAAATAGGTCAACTCGATCGGCGACATGTACAGAGAATGACCACAGCCCCATATTTTATTCATTGTTTTTAATTCAGTCCCTAGAATATCGATCTGCCCATAGAAGATACCCTAATTTGTAAACATAACGTGTTCAAAGGCGTCTACTGAAGAGAAAACATCGTAGATGTGTTATGTTTTTAAAAGACATAGCCACGATTTAACCCTGGATTGCAAAGAAGATCAAACGTCGATGTAGCTGGTGAGAAAAGACAAATAATAAATCTGGGCACCCCATTGAAGCTTGAAAACTGCCTTCGCTATTGTGCTGTCTGACAGTTGTTCACTGTTGTATTTGTAAAGGAAAAAAAGTTTCTAGTTTGTATTTGCGGCTAAAAAGCATTGGTGGGAAATCATGGGTTACTTCGATAACTTGCCCCAACTCTGCCCCCTCCTATTTTCCCTCAATACAGTAAGGGAGGAAACATACATTAAAGACTTCATAACAAGACAATCGCTCATCAGCCTCCGAGCCGCTCGGTCGGGCCCGTGGTTTTCCACTCACGGAAGGCTAGTGTTGGAAACATTATAGCTAACAATATCATAACGTATTGAATAGATCGATTGACTTGCGGGTGATATCAAACTTCTTCTTAAACTCGGTTGACTAGCAAAAATAATAGTATGGAATACGAGAACGACTTAAACAAAAACAAGGCAATTACTTTTAGCGGTCAGTCGCTCCACGCTGGTTGAGTAACGACTTGGTTTCCCCCAATATATATGCTTGCGACAGGTAGCCGCCTTCTGTCGGGGGAAGGCAAGTGAGAATGCTACTATGCTTATATACAGGGAATGCATGCGAAAAATTAAATGTACTAACCTGTAATTGCCAGCACCAGAGAACTACATGCAAAAGCCTGTATTAAATAAAAAGAAGAAGAAATTAGTGATGTCACTTTTTTCAAACCGGTGGATGTCTTAATTATTAAAACACCATGCAGAGAGCGAGACGTTCCACTATTTAGTACATGTGTTTCCAGTGTGATACAGGTAACGTGATTTGAAAGGTGAGCCGAGCCATGGGAATCCGAAGCAGTCGGACATGACGCCTGCAAGGAATCAAACCATTGGAGATGTACGTACAGTGTGTAGCACCGATGGGGCAACATCGTTGACATAGGCGTCCCGGAGTGAAGACGTCCAACGTCGGTAGGAAACCATACGATGAGACGGCCGGGCGATTAACGCTCGCTGTTCCCGCTGCTTTGGACACGCATATGTATGCTCAAATCTAGCGTGTACACAGTTGAGATAATGGGTTCAATATTTGCATACGCGATGTTGTTCAATGACAGTTCATACAGTTTGAAGTGGGTAGTCGATAAATCATTGCTTTCCGACAAAAAAAATGTATTAGTCCGACCTCTCGACCGACCAAAATTAACACATTTGCTTTGGAAATCCCGTATGTACACAATTTAGTCCGGATTTGAGCGGATGACGTCTGTGTCCTAGTGAGCGCATAGATTTGCAAAGCTCAGAGCTTCGATGCGACGTGGAGAAGTGAGTTATTGTACATCAGCGCGACTCATTAGCGGAACTAGGCTCACACTGTGCCCGTGTTTATCTGGTCACAAGATGCAAAGTAAGGCGCTTGCTCTTAAGACGTCTATAGAAATTGAAATGAGAGGCCAGACTTAACGATTTTTAGAGCCCCACTGTACCGAGGACAATTAATGGAACTATGGTGGGTGGTACCTTCAATCCAATTGGCACCTTCCCTCATGTTTTCAAGTTGATTGACTCGGTGAAGGGTTCATCAACATGCAATACAGCTATTGCTTAACACGTCACGCCGTAATCGAGCCGCTTACACGCTAATTTACTAAATAACGCAGACCAATTTACGTCCTGTTTTTTTGGCAAAGCTGCGATTTGTATTTCTCAACTCGATTCCATTTCTGAAAAGAGGCAATTATTAGGCGCAGAGCGCGCCAGAGAATACTTGTGGAGTTTAACGGAGACCAATTATCATCGACTTGCAACTTTATTAATTGCCGTGTTATGATGATACACTACGCAGGGTAGGCAAGAAGAAGGGCATCGCGTATCCGGTAGCGACCATCTGTAAGATCGGTCAGGCTGACAGTATATGGTTAGAGTGGACACTTGGCTGCCTGGCAAATGACAACACCCCGGTCAACTATGCAGCAGACCCCGAGTTCATTTGGAACATGTGACGAGAATCTTTAATCACTGTCGCGGACGGCTAAACCGTTTAGTGAAATACGAATCAGTGCGCCACCACTTCATATGAAAGAGTTTCCAGCATGCATTATGATACTAAGGAGCGACTGCATAAGGTATGATGTACTGTATGTATACATGGATCATATTGCGTAGCCGGAGAAGATTGGTTACAACGCGGTGCGTTGACTGTTTGTTCAGTTCAACACCCCATCAGGATTGAAAGACACACGCTATAATGAATAAGCTACCCAGCTTTCTCCCCTCCCAAATGGGGGCTTTTCCCACCACTTAAATATTTAAGTGCTTTTTTTTTTCTGTAAACAAATTGTTCATATTGCTAGTGGGATAGCCCAGGTTTAAAGGGGGAATGGAATACAATAAATACCACACTGGACAAAAGTAAAATATTTCCACAATGGAGTCGTTCTGGGGGACAGGGTATTCTTCTTGGTTGATTGTGGCATGTCGTATAGCTACCCGCTGTCCCTTACAATATGCTTAATCTGGCTGAAAAACAATCATGAAAGAAAATGACATTTCAGTGGTCGATTCCCAAACACCTAGCCTCTGACCGGTATTATAATGCCTATATATAGACGTATTAAACCCATACAAGAATGGACATACTACGGGATATGCGATCGGTACGTACACGCATAATACTAGTAAGTGACGTCGGACGGAGGAAACAAAAAAATGGGGGTGATAACCTCGACAAGATCGTGAAATGCCGATTCACATGGACGCATTATATATGTGACGATGGCTCCAGTAAAGACAATGGGTATAACCAAACAAGCGATACTACGGGGGCAAAGCATGGAGACCAACAACACGATAAACACCCAACGCTACATGATAAAAAACAAAACAACTTACAATAGCTTTGCTGATAAATTCATGTCTTCGTGCGGGGTTGTTTTCGGCAAGCACGCATCGTACAGTAAATGATTCCAAAGACCACGATGATCGCAACAGCAATAATTGTTCTTATAATCCGATAAAACAACTTAGTTTTACTCCGCCTTGTTTGTTTGCCAATACTGATAAAGTCGGAAGTCAATCTGAAAAGAATCCCTCTTTACACCTTGTCGGGATTTAATCGTAGATACCTGTTCCGCCTGTTATCGATGTTTTTCTTTTAGCGTTTTGACGGCTTGTTATTTAAGGGGTTGGAATTTTTCCGACTGTCTGGGAAACGCCAACAATACCAAAACAATGATCATGGGTACGCTCATTGGTCTGGTTTAAAAAGAGCATTATTCCTATAATAATTTCATTTAAACCAAAACCTCATTTCGAAATCAGCCATTTGTATAAAAACCAATGAAAAAAAGAACATACACGCGTCGTATCACCAATAGACAATGGTTTAGGGTAGCCGCACTGGAGACAGACATATCCTTCTTGGTCCAAACTTGTCCATCTTTGGCTACTGAAAGCTACCAAGTATTTTGGTATTCACGTTTGAATAGGACCATACCATTCTCTCGTTCAATGTAACAACCTAGGGGAAGGTACGTCTCAAACAAGAAACACATTTAATGTCGTTAACAATAAGCAACTTTAATCCGCCTCTTTTAATTTTAATTTTTTTAATTTCGGGGTTAAACTTCAGAAATTTATAGACAAGTGAACACGTAAAATAACACGCGTCGTCATGATCGTCATGTTCGCTTTAAAATACATGAACGAGGACGCCGTATCGGTACACTGACGTTCCCCCCTTTTTTTCTCTCAGGACTTTTTGACTGTCTCTTGCGTCTTTCCTTTAATGACAGCTGCCCGTCAAAGCGGGCACGTGTTTCAATATGTTTGTTACCTCCCCGATGTTGTTGAGCAAAGAATAAGTTTTTACGACAAGTATGAGTGGTCCCTCACCCCAGCAGGAAGCTCGATGTTCCGAATTAATGTTTATTTTCACGCCAAATCGCGCCCGTTGCTATGGGGCAAATGATTTTTAAAAACTTGGTGACCGAATAACCGAATACTAGACACAATGCAAGATGCTGAATCTGAGATTGTTAATACCCCCCGGCATAGCTATATGCATAATAGGTGCATATGAGGGCGCACGAAATGGGTCCATCTTATACGAGCATACGCGCATAGTGTACCACGCCAGAGCATTCAAATATTAGATAGCGAAAATCTCGACAACCATTTTTGATCCAAACAGCATATTTTTCTTCGGGACCAACAAACCTTCGGTGAATAGCCTGAATAGAGTGACCTGCTATAATACTTTTTTTGAACTTAAAGAACATACCGTCTTTCAAGTCACATTCTTTGCAAATAACATGGCTTTATTTGTACTACGGGCAAGAGTGGGTGAGTGCGAAGCCATGCGTTAGGGCAGAGTAATCGCAAGGAACCGCTCTTGTCAAACACCGCCAATTTACAGTCAGTGATACTACACAAATATCCCAGAGCTTGACAATTCCCCTTATTTCTATAAACAAAAACAACCCCAATCCTCCATAGGTTTAACCTGTACATTCGATCCTGGGAAAATATGCGACTTAGTATCATGGGAGAGCGCTCATTGCGAGCAATGATTAGAAGCTTCGATGGGCTTTAGAGCACCGATGCGATCTTGCTATAATAAGGTGTTTGGGCGGCGACGAATTTACAACGGAATTTGGCCAATTCTATGTATGTTAGTGGAGATTATGGATCAATGTGACGTCATTCATACGACGACATACTGCGACTACACACACATCGGCCATATTAAGCCAGTTATTCTATCAGCCCTTTTAGGGAACATCTCAAAATCTCTGACAGAATCACACATTTTAATGGACATACAGTATACGATTTATGATTGAGGGCGCCACACATATTAAAATGTTCTTTGTACATTCCGAATCAAGACGAGGTTCGGCGCATTTATGTAAATAAGATCACGCCGAACACGCCCTCTATCAGATAAGCGTGGAATATGAAAGTGATGATAAGAAATGTGGAAGCCGTCGGTCAATCGTGATCACTGCAGCACAGAGCGATTCGGACAAGAAAATAATCGTATGCAGTACTGATATAGATTGGCTAATCTTTTTTTAAGAGGCACAAATTGCGTTTTGGTTATTTGCCCGTATGTAATACTTATTCAAACGTGCCATCTTTTATAACGTTCCCCCGTTCCAAATAAATACACGTGGGAAAAAAAAGTTAAAATGTACGTCACGCGACATTTGAAAGAAATCTATGTTTTGTCTATGTATTACATTAAATATTATGATATTAAAAAATAATAACTGAACGAGCTGTAGGTGTAACTTTCCAATCAGTTGTACATTATTTTTATGAATACAATTTCGAGTCACGGTGACTATAATCGTACACGTGATTGCAAGTGAATGTGCACAACGCTCCACGCAGTACCTCGTGGGTGATACAACAACTTCCGCAACTCGACATGAAAACAAGCAGATCACATGACCTGTTATGAGTAAAATTAAAGGATATCCATATTGTAAATCTTCAAAAAAAAAATACTTTGTTGTCATAGTTGCCACCGGGAGGTAAAGATAAGTATAATGTCGAGATAGGAAAAAACAAAACAAAAATACGCTGACTTCGCGTCTACATTTAATCTAAGCCACTCTACACTGGCTGAACCGAGTCTCCATCATTCCTCCTTTGTCAGGCAACGCATCGGAATACATTCACAATGACACTTCCTGGACCAGTATAATTTTAAATAACAAAAAAAAAAATACAAATCGACAGGAGAAAATCGATGATGCTGATTGATTTTTAATCACAGGAAGTGTTTTCCCCATGCAGTTCATTATGTATTATGATGCTTCCTGTCACGCCGTTGCGTCACAATGTGTTATAGCGCCACGAGACATACCGCAATATGCAAATACTGAAGTACATGTCCTTATCGGGTATTACCCGGATGCTGCCACGTTAGTCGGATGTACGATAATCGAGCCGATAGTATTGGCACCTTTGTTAATTTGGGAAGTATGAGCAAGCATTCCAGGCGTGCGACTTCAGACATATTTTGTGGGCTTTTTATCGACTTCCCCGCGACTCGTATACAATGCGGCGTAGTAATTGACTTTTACGGAACTGTCAATGAAACTATAGTGTGCACACCTCTGTCTGTCTGAATAATAGGATCTAATTTATCATCTCCCTGGACCCTCCACGTTGTGGGAGTTCTCGGCGATAACTTGTTGAACTCGAAATCAATGTAGCTTCCGATAACCGCCGGCACGGGATCCGACTTTTAACAACTTGACATCCTGGGGGCAAACGTCATAATCGGGGCGGCATGCCCAGCGCCAACAACTACACCGTGGTATCTATTTCCCTTTCTTTCTATATTGCGATCATGACTTAATTTGTTACATTGGTTCCTTCCGCCGTATTCAAACATCGCTAATTTTATCGCAAATATGCGAAACTATTTACGGGCGCCATTCCGACACTATGACGCAAGCGGGTACAGCGGGTCTACATCCCGGTCTTCATTCGTATCCGACTTAAAATATCAAAACACTATATATCAACAAATATACTGTTAATTTATTGGCAAATTGTAATTTATTATTCAAATATAAGGATCATCCATGCTCCACATAGCGCATACTCATGAACGCAAAGTCTAGAGATAATGGACCCCGAATTATTTACGACACTGCGACAAACTGTGTGTGACAATTGTCAAGTAGGTATTATTATAAAGTGTTTGATTATATGTGTCACTAGCCAACAACGTTAAGCAGTAGAATAATATTGAAAAACGAGTTGCGTGTCCATACACATGATTGAAATATGTGGCTTCTTAACAGTTTGGCGATCATAACCACGATATTATTACAAAGACGCTGTTCGCATAGCACGTATTAGTATTGAGACGGATTACTGAGGTATTTCAAAATATGGTAGTAAATGACATGCTTCCATGCATCGTGGGGGTCGTTTCGTACCAATCACGGTTTTTCACAATTGATTGTTTTCATAGGCATATTTATATAACTGTTAACCTCCCATTAAGACAAAAACGTGTATATTAGCACGTGGTCTGAATATGATATAGTTATTTAATATGTACTGCGGGTAATCCCGTGTGAACCTGTTCAGTGTCAAGCTATTCAAGTCTTGGCGCGGTCACTGCTGACAACGGAGATGGTGTATGGTAGAATTTATCCTCTACAGTATTGCATTTATGTGTCATAATGAATTCACCAAAACGGGTGACCTACTACCAAAAAACGGCAGAGAATAGCTAACCCGCGGAGGGGATAATGTTAAATATTCAGGTCACAGAAACAGTCATATTGACATATCATGGGCACTTTTCGGCACGAACCACCGAGAACACGATAAGGTTATGGCCCAACATGCAGCTTACATGAAGATTCCAGGTTGGCGGTCAAATATTCTGCAGCGAATATCAAACAAGCTGTCCGACGTGACATTTAATTACCACTCGTCAGTGACTCGTCGGTTTGGATGATAATTGAATGAGGAGTGAAATCGACATATGTTATGACGAATCTGGCCACGTACAAGAACGCATGTTCTACACACATCAACAAGTGGGTATTTTAGTTACCGTCCATGGTCCGAGACATATATAAGAAAAAATCACCATGTTAATGGCGTGAAGGTATCTGTATCACTAGAATACCAAAATACAACAAAACACTATAAAAAAAAACGTGGTGCGTATCGACTGATTATCTTGATGGGTACTTCAGGGTCTGACCAATTAAAAAAAGTAGTCATGATAAGTGGCGTAGGATATATCGCAGGTGAATCAGACATCACATTGCGCGTAACTTAGAATTGCCCGGAAGCTGAGATTGGAAGGCCCTACCTTGGAAACTAGACATAATTTATAGGTGATATAAATTTCAATGTGCAAATATTTCAAGTAGGCCCAATTTGAGTCTTTTGTTTTTTTCTACCAACTTGACCATTTCTTGTTATTACTGTGTACGCTGTTTCAGTTTAGTAAGCTGCAGTTAAACCTGCTACTGTTAACTCGTACCGAAACGAGGAAAACTTCAGATTCTTTATTTACAGTCGTTTATCATTAAAAACAAAACATACCAATATATGTTACTGTCTCTATGATTTAGCAAGTCAATTAAGATTTGCAAGTATTTAATCAAACAAAAGTAGGCGAAGATAAGGCAACTAGTGCGTGACCCAAAGTAGCCCCGCGGCACGTGCAACGGCGTTTACATTTCGACCACACTGGAACCGACTTCTGAAAAAAGCGTGTATTTAATATTGGTTTAAGTTGAAGGGCGTTTACTGCGACAATCGCGGTGGTAGTGAGTGCACTGTGCGTGCGGTAACGCTATTGAGAGGTGAGTTACTGAAACGATCTATGGGGCTTAAAAACAATATATTGTTGCTGGTCACTTGTGGAATTGCTACGCATCGTCAGTGATCGACCCCCTTCGTCTGCTCCTATGACACTCACATTCTTTTCCGGCAGGTGTTCATCGTATAATGTACACCAAAGTAAAACTCGATTTTATAGTACGTATAAACTCACCATGTGACGTTAACTGGCCGCATCTCAACGTGTGGTTATACAAAAGGCGGAGTGATAAGCTTATATGAATATCTTTTTGACAGTAGCTACACCTCTTTACTCCTCACTCTTCGTTGATTCAGACTCCGTAGAAGATACTGACAATCCCACAACGTCGTCCCGGTAACTGAACACTTCAGCCAACAAGCAACGAATTTATCCAGAGGGCACGCCTACAACATTGATTGCCCTTCTATATTCCCGGCGACAAAAATAGTTTGTCCGAGGGCTTCCGGAAACTCGCAAATAAAGCGGTGAATGGTGTTCCGAGTCGTGTCACCAAACGTCACGACGACGCAGCACTGTATCCCCCCAAAAGTGAAACCGCCGTTACCCCAGCTCCATAGGAGTGACACCTCTTAAATCACGTATTCCAATAGTCCGATGATGATGAAATTACCGAAAGCCGATTTTTTACATGCTAGTGTTCATCCTAGCATATAATGAGTTTTCGATTACCCAAAAGGCGCCAAGCTTCTCCTTGCCAATAAAAAGGGAAAATCCTCAGCCTTTCGTCTTTTATGTCCGCGATTCATCGAAAAACAAACATCAGATGAATACAGGTTCACAAGATGCGGCGGTTGTATACCGAGTAAAACACAACTCCCTGTTCAGTGGTATGCATGTCAATACAATGAGCATGAATGAGATACGGGTCATGGTTCTACTTGGTCGGTGGGGGCAATCTATATACGCGGTCTTTTAAAAACTCAAAAACCGTGTAGCATCCAATTCTTACGGTCAGTGTAATGTTTATAGTTTAATTTTTGCTGCCGGTGTTTGTCAAGTACCCACGCCCTTGTTTGCTTTTGGTTCAGATTATGTTACTACGTGTTATGTATACCCAACACAAGGGGAGATACACATACTGATCTAAGGACGGTATATTTTATCTAATTCATGTAAGACAAAAATAAGCACTCGACGTTACGCTGATACTATTTCACAATACCCGTAACACGTACCATGACACGAAGTTTTTAAAACTTCCGCGCGGTGGCGCTCTTTTTTTAAAAACTTTTTTTTTCTCTGTGAGCGATTGGAGGAAAGAGGTAACTAACAACCGAACTTCAGACATAAACAAAATGGCGTCTTTTTAGATTTCTTTATAATGTTCCAGATCTTGCGAAATCCCATTGGAGTCTTTCAAAATGACTTGAATGTGGTCACACTTAAATATAGCGAGGCACAAATGACTATAAGTGTGACAGCCATCTGTTTTCGGAGAATAATCAGTTCAACAATTGGTATTTTATGAATTCGTTTTGCGGAAGTCGTCGACGACAGAGTTCGCAGCTGTCCGCTTATTTTGATTTCTGTAATTTTGCGCAGCAGTCCGATCGTGTTTGTAAGATCGGATTGAATATGAAGCTTTATCTGTTAGACTTGCCGGATGACATTTTGTTCGAGGTTATATCGTATTTCGACATTGCTTGTTTAGGACGCGTTACTCTTGTCTGTCGTAAGCTGTATCGGTTATGCCAGCAAGATATTGTGTGGCGTAGGTTATCACGTCATCTTGTCAACATTGGGAAAGACGAGCATCTCAATCAAAGGTAATAAATACAGTACTGTTTTTTGGTGTTACCTCTGCATGTCATGTCCGTGTTGTTGTCAATATAATATATTTATGTTTGTTATTTTTCGCTATACTGCACGCACCGCCCCTAAAAGTAATGACTACAAGAGCCTCTGACTTTCTGTCGAGTTTATCTTTTTTTTTTGACTCCCACTCAATATTCGATTTGTGTAGAAAAGTTGTGTTGTGGAAAAAAAGATATAATATCACCCAATCAGGAGATTTTTTCTTATTTTCCCATGTATGGCAAGAACTCCTTACTGAATTGTTTTCAAACACTTCAAAATGACCTCATAAAATCTAGGGTCTGACTCTGACCCTAAATTGTATTGCGTTCCAAAGAAAGTCTCCATCTAATGGGAACAATGCATTTTTTGTTGCCCTACTCTGTATCAGAAAGTGCCACTCCCACTCCTCAACCCCAAATTGGGACATGAACTCCTACTTCATTACTTTTATTGAGTGATTTGTTTGATTGCAAATGGCCTAGTAAAACTTTTTGAGGCCATATAATATAAATATTCTTGTCACTATTCTAGATTTTATTTTAAATGTGAATCAAATGATGTTTATGAGGTGGTGAATGCATCTCAAATCAGTGATATTAACAACATATTATAAAAAATAATTATTATTGATTTATCCACAGGCCCTATAGAGCCTATAGTTCATCATGGTGTAACTAGTAATTATTTTACATTAGAACAGTGTGGGTAATTCGGAATTTTATAGTGTTTTCTTTTGCAAAAAACAATATATTTTTTTGCTAATCTTGAAATCTGAGTAAATTTGAGATTATAGAAAGATCAACTTGCTTTGGATTGTCTTACTTTGGGATAAGATGTAACTTGAATGAACTGTGCGGAAGATTATGAGAGTAAATACAGCTTTTTAAATTTCTTGAGAAAAAAGACATGAATGAGTGTTTTATTCAGTGTGCTGCTGATCATCAGGGCCATGATGTCAAACTGATCAAACATTACCAATCTAGGATGGCAAGTTAAAAAGCATCTTTTATGTGAATGGTGGGGCTAATCTGCACTGGCTCGGAAGGTTGTAAATGATTAGCTAGTTTGAATTTCTAATTTGCATAACATTACTGAGAATGAACGTGCATTCAACGCCACAAGTCTTTTGTTTTTTTAGCCAATCAGAATTCATCTTCCGAGCCAGTGCAGATCAGCAGGAATGGTGGTTTAATTTTTGTCCCTTTTTAGAATAAATCTGCATAATTAATGTTCCTAAAAAAAATTGGAAATCACATCCATTTTACAGGCTTGGGCATGGTCTGAATTTTTGTGAATCTTTTTGAATAATTAAATAGAAAATTTAGTTTTCTTACCTTTGATACATGTATAAAAAATAGCATAAAAATCTTAATACAACTGCACTCTCGATTCCAGCTTCAGGGTTAAAGATTTCTTGACAAAAATTGAAAACATAAAAAGTACTAACAATTCAACAAGACGGTGACTGACTTCATTGTTTCAACCAGCTGGTCCAAAACGGCATTGCTCCTAATCCTATTCAATTGTTTCGACCACATGTCTAAAAAATATTCACAGCTATTTATTGTTTGTTTCGTAGCTCATCCAGCGTTTACATGTGACCAAAATCATTCGATTATGGTGAAACTAAGTTTAATATTATTTGCATTTCATAACAATTCACCAAAATTATTTTTTGTATGTTATTATAATCACTACTGAGTAATAATCAACAATTGCAACACTTTGAAAACGAGTAAGTTATTCACTCGTGAAATGCAACATGACCGGATTGTGCTCCTGTACCATGATCATTCGCTACTAAGCAATTACATTTGTGTTTATTTTTATTTAAAACTTCTATTAGAATATACTTTTTGTTACCAACAAAATTAAAAAAATAAATGCATATTCCATTAAATATACTGAGTATTTTTTTTATCATGTGTTTTTTTGATTTACTGTAATTTTTCAACATTTTGCGACACCTATTTTAGAACCAAATTAAGGCCTTTGACTCTTCCTTGACGCCTAAATTAGAGTGACTCCTATTGAAAAGATTATACAGTGTATTGTTTGTTTTGTGCATGTATTGTGGGGAAAAAATGACCACGCTCATTAATTTTTAGTGATTGCAATATGTACCGTACGTAATAATATAAACCGCACCTCAAACTTGAGTGTTTGACCCAAATTTTTAAATTGATACATTGTAATATAAACCAAGGTTCATGTTAGTTTTTTTTTTTACAGTATACTGTAAATTTCATTGTCAGTGAAAATATGCGACATTTTGTAGCTGTGGAAAATTTTGTAGTGTTCTGCAACACAGTGATTGTCTGTGACTTTCGCAGAATTTTGTCTGCATGAAATACCATGAAATCCTGAAATTGTGTAGATATCTAGCAGTGTGAATGACTGGTTCATTCCAACCAGTCACTGCTCAAGTGCATGAGTGCAAAATATAAACAAATGTGACATCATATAAGGAGTGTTCTCAAATTGGGAAAGTTTACCCAAAAATATGAGTCACGTAGGATCATGCCTACTAAAGTAGTAGAATATTTTTGATGAATGGAAACACAAAAAAAAATTATTAATGTTGACTATCTAGATAAAAATAGTCTTTTGACCCCTCTGACCTTTCCTTTTTAGCCATCTCCAACAATTTGACAACATCCCCAAGAGGAAAAGATTGACGCTTTTAAGATAGTTACGAAAAAAACATGATTTACCCATTTCGAATTTGTCATGTGACCATTTGGTGTGACAAATACTGATAAATTAGAAATGATACGTACATTACAGTAGTTTTGGAGTCTTTGTATGTCCTGTGTCATAGTACGCTATTTGCCACCTTGGATTGCCATACAATTTGCAAGCAAAATGGCAGCCATTGATGGTTATTGCTACCATAACCTAAGGATTTGTCAACATGCTTGTTCAATGACTACTGCATTCAAAAACAGTTGTGTAACTGATCTTGGAAATACTATAAAATACTTTATTTTAGCTGGAATAAATTTGAGTGTTTTGTATGGAATTTATTTTCACTGATTTTTTGAATGTAAAATATAGGAAAATAGGTATATATTCACTGGATTTTATTTTTACTGAATCATTCCTTCAGCAAAAATAGCGAAAATTAATTCCAAGCGAAAATAAAGTATTTTACAGTAATAAAATTCGTTCAACTACTGTATAATATAGTTGGCACCAATCAGGTCTTGACTTTGCTAAGCTGAATACTTGACATGCATTTATAATTTGAGTGCTATACCAAAATACTGTACCAAATGATCATCAGTTCTAATTGTTATCAAAATTTTTGAAAAATATGGAGAAAAATGATGCAGACTAATTTTATAATGGGCGACAATAGTCGACTTTGGCCCGCAAATGGTTTAACACTTTATTGTATTCCAAAATCCATCTGAAATGTTGCTGTTTTCACCTGTTTGATAAGTGGAATGTTTTTTTTTTTCTGTTCCTGTTTGACAGCAGTGATTATTTATTGATTTTGATACAGAAAAATCACAGTGATATGAACAAAAACATGTACACGTATAGAAAACACTTGGGTGACACAAATCATATTTCCTTGATTAAATACCTGGCTAGGATGCAAAGGTCAAGAGTTTATTATCCGACCTGCGGGTTCACCGCTAGAAAAGAATGTGGGTCATGTTGAATATTAGCAAAATGGTGTTCGTAGTTTTATTTGTTTTTCACTGTATGGTGAAATTATTTCCTGTTTAAATTGATTTTTAATTTTTTTTTTTAATGTAGAATGTTTTATTTTTCCATGAAATTTATTTTCACAAAATTGATTGGATCAATTGGATGGGGATCAATGAATTGCATTGGTTTAGTGTTGGTCATGGCTAACACACATTTGAAACAAGAGTTTTTTTAAAAAAATTTTTCAATTGTGAACCTCCAATGTTCACACATTAATTTAACCGATTTTCCAATCCGCCAAAGTAGGGTTTTACACCATAGACAAATTTGTTAAGATATTGTTTCTATGGAAACAAATTCAGGTAACCTTGATTTTTATTGGATATTGCTGTTATTTATTTGATGGAACCTTACATTCACAAAAATAAAAAAAATTGTAATGCTTTTTCAAATTTACACATATTTTGCTACTTGGCCCTATTTATCATTTAATTATGACATAATCATGTCATCACAATTTCATGCTGCTTAGATGTTGTATTTTATCGGGATCATATTCATGTACCAGGTAAGTCAACTATTTTTGGCCACATTTCGTCTGGCTTTCAGATGTGCAGCATAATGCTGCCATATCATCTAGATTCAAGTTTGTAATATTGAAAATTACCGGTAAATTAGACAAAATAAATCTCTAATTTATCCGTTGAAGCCTAGTTAATAAGTATAATTTTCAATTCTGACAAGACAAAATATTATTTTTTTTAGTTTATTTGAGTCTTACTAAGTTACTGTACTGTATAGTCTTAAATTTTGTATCTGGTGCATGTTTATTCAAACCAGGAGTGGATAATATGTAAAGGGGGTAAAAAACAGTGATGACCAGATGTTTTCAATAGTACACCTGAATATATCTTGAGTTGTTGGTCTTCCTGCCATCCATGTGTATTGAGGTATGACTCCTTGTATCACTATTATGTCAGCACTTGCTTGTAGTATGGCATTATTGTAAATGTAAGTTGAGATACCATTATCAGGGTTCAAAGTTTAAAAGTAGTCTTACCCAAGGCTCAATGACTAGTTTGCTTGTCTTCAGGGCTGTATTTCTGAATAGTAGTTTAGTCTATGCGGAACCAGGAAATAGATCAGGAAATAACTGCAGGTGTTATTTAAGTTATTTTATATTGACTAACTACATGTAACTTTATACATGACAATTTTTCTGTGGAATTTTGGTGCAACATTTTGCAAATTTGTATGTACCGGTACAGTTTTTTTTTTGATAATTTTATTTCCCATATATGGACTGATT